GTTAGGACGGGTAATGGTCAGGTACAAAAGACACCCAACAAGGCGCCGGTAAGAGCTGATGTCAAGTATCACGTCTGCAGCAGGTCGAGTAAGAGAGTGGTTCTGCTCCATGGGAAAACTGCTGGGTTTTGCACCTGTCACACCAGCATCTTTCAGGATGTCAAGGGTGTAACCGCCACCTCAATTCCCAGAAAATATTTTAAGGGACCAAGATCCTTAGTGCTGAAACGGGAGTCCAAGAAACTCTTCACCTGAGAAATAAAATCTGCATCATTACTAGTAAGAACGACGTCATCCACATATATAAGAGCCGCAACGAAGGAGTCACCCTTGCGGTACAAAAAAAGAGAGTGATCAGCCCGTGATGCAGTAAAACCGAGCTCAGCAAGAGCCAAAGTGAACTTCTGGTACAAGTTGCGGGAGGCCTGACGCAACCATTACAGCGACTTGCACAAGCGACAAACCCGGGTATCTCCTTCTTGCTGAAATCCGAGGGGTACTTTCATATAAACCTCCTCCTGGAGGTCACCATGCAGAAAAGCATGGTTGACGTGAAGTTGATGCAAATGCCAACCACGTTGCACTGCCAAGGCAATCAGAACACGAACGATAACGACCTTGGCCACTGGAGCAAACGTGTCATGGAAATCAACACCCTCTAACTGAGTGAAGCCCTTAGCAACCAAGTGGACCTTAAAGCGCTCTATGGATCCATCCGGGTGATACTTGATTTTGTACACCCATTTGGAGTCAATCGCCCTCTTACCGGGAGGAAGATACTCCAAAGTCCATGTCCCGTTTGCCTCTAGTGCCAAAATCTCCTTCTGCATCACTTCGAGCCAGTAAGCGTGAAGAACTGCTTCACGGAAGTGACGTGGTTCTTCGAGCTTCGAAATGGCGGTTAGGAATGCCTTGTACGCTGGGGTAAAACGATCATAATGAACATGATTCGCGATGGGGTAAGTGGTTGCATTAGACTGACTTCCTGACAGCTCCATCTCATATACATCAAACTTCGACGGGGGACGTCGATCTCAAAGACCGCGTTGAGGAACAACTGGCGGGTCCGAAGAGGGAGCATGCGGTGTCTCGGCAGCAGGCTGCTCCTCGCTAGGTGCGTGAGTGTCTGCATGTGCATGGGGTAGCTTTGACGTGCACTGGAGAAGGCAACGGAGCTGATGCAGGACATGGCGAGCTCAAATCTTTAGCCAACTCTAGATCCTCATCATGCAGAACACGATATGCAACCAGGGAATCAAGCGAAGGCTCCCTCTCAATGAATGCCGAGGGAGGATGAGTAGCATCCGAACGAAACGTGGTATCCATCCCAATAGAAGTACCAAAGGGGAATTTATTTTCCACGAATAACAAGTCGTGGGAAGTATAGATACAGCGAGTGGTCAAGTCATAAACCCGGTAACCTTTCTAAGCGAGAGGGTACCCTACAAAAACACATCGTCGCCCTCGTTCAGTGAATTTATCGAGACCATGCTGTGTATCTTTGGCATATACAAGACAACCAAAAGTGCGAAGATGATCATATGAGGGAACGCGCCCGAGAAGAACTTCAAAGGGGGTTTTATTGCCCAGAAATGAAGACGACAGCCTATTTATCAAATATGTTGTTGTAAGGATACACTCACCCCAAAATCGGACCAGAAGACTCGCCTGAAAACACAAGGCTCTCGCTGTCTCTAATAAATGACGGTGCTTATGTTCAGCGACACCGTTCTGCTGTGGAGTGTTCAGGCACGATGTCTGGAGGTGGATGCCGTGATCAGCATAGTAGTCACGGAGTGTATTCGTCTGAAATTCTAGGCCATTGTCCGACTGAATCCCGCAGACCTGTGCCCGGAATTGTGTGCGAACCATCTCACAAAACATACGAATATGCCGCTTAACATCAGATTTGTACCTCATAAGATAAACCCAGGTAGTACGAATATAATCATCTACCACTGTCAGAAAATAATGAGAGCCGTCCATAGAAGGAGTCTTCTAACCACCCCAAAGATCCATATGAATTAACTCAAAACTACCAGTGGTCTTAATAAAACTGGACTGAAAAGGAGTGCGAGTTTGTTTAGCACGCAAACAAGAATCACAATGCGACTTAAACAAACTGTGTTCCTGATAACGAAGGAAATTTTTCAAAACAAATAGTTTCTCGAGAGTAGGATGTCCCAAGCGATGATGCCAGAGTTGCTGACTAGCCGGCTGTGCAACTGCCATTGCGAGCCTCGATGCTCCCCCTTGCTGCAACACCTCCTCTTGCGGCAAGTAGAATAAGCCATCACGGAGGCGGGCCAACCCAATCACTGTCTTGGAGTGTGAGTCCTGGATGACACACACATTTTCCAAGAAAAGCAGAGCCACATTATTATCTCTGATCAACCGACTTACAGACAATAAGTTGCACTTGAATTGGGGAACATGTAGGACTCGATGCAAGGTTATCTTCGAATTTAACACCACTGAACCAATACCCTCTACTGGGATATACTTGCCATTGGGTATGCGAACAAGTGAATGAGCATGAGAATATTGAACTTTATCAAACCAAGTTCTGTCACTGACTATATGTTCATTACCGCCAGAGTCAATAAGCCATTCACTGGGATCAACAGTATTACCAGCCATGTGCGCAGTTGGATCAGGATTAGCAGGCGTGGGCATCTGGGCGATGAGAAAAACTGTTTTAGCTGCAAATAGGGCTGCGCTTAAGTCCTGGAACTGGGCTTTCCTCTGCGTCAACATGAGCTGCCCGCGTCGAGCCCTCGCCTTTTGGCTTCTTACCCCATTAGGTCGATTCTTTCCGAAATCCGGCGGATAACCTATGAGACTGAAACATTGCTCCCGGAGATGCCCTAGCTTGTTGCAATTAGTACAGCGAACACGATCATCAGTGGCATCTCCCTTCTCATTGCGCACCTGGAAGGCGGCCGTCTCAACAACTGACCGTCGGCTGCTAGTAATGAGGCGTTGTTGTTCCTCAGCTGCCACCTGTTGGTAGGCTTCAGTGAGCGTAGGAATAGGCTTGGTACTCAAGATTTGGCTTCTAATAATGGAAAAGGTATCGCCCAGCCCTAGCAAGAAGTCATTCATGCGTTCGGCTTCTTGCTTCTCTCGCACCTGCTTAGCTACATCACAACTGCAATTCCCACAACTACAACGCGGATTGATGGTCACAGACTATAATTCATCCCACAGAGTTCAGAGCTTGGTATAGAATACCGAAACTGAAGATTTTTCCTACCGAAGCCGCACAATCTGACCGCGAAGTTCGTAAGCACGAGTGGGCGGTGGCCGAGCTCGACCCGAAGCGTTGTTTAAGGTCGGTCCAGATTTCTTGGGCTGTGCGAGCTGCCCTAACGCTATTCCGAACTTCCTTCGTCATAGCCGTCTTCAGCCATCCTTTTACCATTGCATTGCACGGATCCCAAGCGTCCTCCTTAGCTCGAGAATCCGCAGCTGAACGCGGCAAAGACCCGTTGACAAAGTTCATCTTCTTCTTCTTAATAAGAGTCTCGGTCATATCATTGACCCATTCTCCATAGTTGGAGTCGGAAAGGAGATAGCTGCCAAACAACTGGCCAGGGTTCTCCGACGGATCCAGGTAGAATGGTGAGTTATGCGGAATAGTATCAAGGTCGTCAACGACCTTCTTCCCGGCAGAACTCTCCTCGTCCTTTGTCATGATTACTGTGTTGGATCACAGTTCTGATACCATGAAAAGAAGTAAAGCGCGGAAGTAAACGAACACACGATTTACGTGGTATCCCTGCTCGATGAGAGCAGGACTAATCCATGGGAGCAAGCTCCAGCTGAAGTTTCACTAAGCTGCAGCAAATAGGGCTGCGCCGTGCAAGATGATCAAAACCATCGGCTAGAGCACATATATATATCCTTCGACAAGACTCTAGGGCAGCTCTAGCTCACGTGATTAATTACAAAACAGTAATGTAATTAATTAAATATGGGTAATTGATCACAGCAATCTCAATAGAAACAGTTTGGTAACCAGTGTCAGGATTCAGAACGTGTAGATTGGAGATTTGGAGGGAACCGAGAATTGAATGAACAGAAGCAGTACGGCAAGGGAACAGACAGCAAGCAGATATGGGTTCCCTGCGATAGAAAGGCGTGGAAGGGTACAGAGGAGATGGACATATATTGCTTGCTCCATATCGAGTCATATTAGTTTCTTGTCCCCAATCTTGTGTTGGTTCATTGCCCCTTGCAAAAGCTCTCAATCAAAGAGGGCTATATGGATAAGGGGCCAGCACATGCTGCAACATGTTTTTGTGAGTTCATCAGGAAGTACAACATGTCCTTTAATTAGCGTCAGACATCAGCTGAGACAAACAACATCAACTTACGAATACATTAAACGACATGCGTAAGCTATCGAAACATTATACCAGTTCTCATTGATGCTCGGCCATCTCACTTTTGGAAAGTGACATTTAAATTAGTTTCTCTCGGTACTATGAAAAGTCTAGTGTTGTAATCCATCCAATTGGAGATTCAATGCATCTGCAATTAGAATCGATGCGTTTTGTGAATGAATCTACCAATAAAAACATAGGGACAACAGAGTTCCATGCCAATTATAATAGGTCTGAGTTATGTTACAAAACTCATCAATGTTACAAAACCTATAAAATTCGTGAGATGAGATACCACCCCTGATACAAATCATACCACCCCTCTAACAAGACACCAAATATTATAAGTTTGATCCCAATGTTTCCCCCTGTAATAATAGTATAGTATTTGCAACCCTAAAGCGAAAAGGCTGAGATCCAATACAATGGTTTAGGTTGTTCTTATTAATTTCAGCCGAAACGAACAAACGAGTTCGTTTGCGGGAGAAGGGGCCGATTTTCCCATCATAGGGAAGAATTGAAGACATGGGCCCAATTCTCTTAATAGAGCATCGTAAAAGGACTTTGCCTATCTTGGCCCAAGACAGGCCCAGTTTTGCAGCTTAACCCAAACGAAACTTCATTTTCTTTACCGCCGGTCGTATCCATGACTAGGAAGTCGGGCCGATTGCAAGTTCTGCCATTCCGAAGGACCGCCGGTACCCGATAGATTTCTCGCCCTGTCGCCCAGCTCCGCCGGGACACAGCAACTGCCGCCGTAGTCTCGCATCGAAGGGCAAGTCGTCGTTTAGTTCTCTGGAAACGTGACCCAATCGCTAGCGGAAAAACGCGTAGCAGAGGTCGGTTTTTTTTTCGCGATTAACAACAGAGCGAGGTAGCATTTGAAGGTAGGAATTTAGGGTTTTCTGCGAGTTAGGTTAATGTCGTCGGGCAAGCCCAACGACGGGGACTTGCAGTTAGTACCAGCGGCGGCGGCGGCAGATAATCCAAGGCCGCCAGCAGTTCCGCCGCGTACCCTGGCCACGTCCACGGGATCAAATGCAATCGTCGAGTATACAGGGCCGGTATTCAAGGAAGAGGAGGAGGACTTGGAGCTCAAGCTTCGGCGGATACTTGAGAATGTACCGGTTCGAGTCAGCAATACTTCTGGTAGTTCCGCCGGTGCCGGTTCGGGTGACTTTCACCAGGTATATTTCGTCATTCACAAGAGTGCCTCTCGTTTTACTTTACGGTGGAGTTTGCATAGGTTTAGGAGTTCCTCATTGTAACTTCTCTGAACTTTTGTGATAAGTTGTGAATGCGTAGCGAATAGGGTTGAGCTTAGTCTTGGTTAGAATTTGTGTGGTTAGGGTTGCTGTTCAAGCTAAAGGATTGCAGGTTCAGAGAGTAAAGTGTTATAGGTGATGAACATGGCGACTATAACAAGGGCAGATTAAGCTGTTGTAGAATTTTAGTGTTCACAACCCCAGCATTATCCTGAAAGCATTGTTAGGCTTATCAGAAACTATATGAATGGTCTCTCTTATTTTGGCGTGGTAGATGCTAAGGCGATGAGCTGGAGCAGCATTGACAGTTCTCTGATGGAATGAATGGGTGCTTTTGCTAATGGGGGAAATCTGCTGTCGAAATGTCATTTACGCATAATTGAACTATTGTAGTGATGTCTTCATAGGCTTAATGTGTTGAAAATTGATTTCTCAGCAGAAAGAAACATACAAAATTAATCAAAAATCATTTCTAGTCTAATAACATTGTAATGAACTTAAAGAAGATCTCTTCCTACATGTATGGTGGTGGGTGGACTGGAGGTCTTTCTGTTTGTACTATTAGCATTACTTCTTTGGCTTCTGGTAGTGATGTTTTATTTCTACAGATTATGTTAATTGGGAGTTAAATCAAACATCAACATCATTCTTCAGCCTCTTTGAACTTAGTTTCACTAGGGTCCAGGTTGTCTATCTGTGTATGGTACGATGATCTTCTTCAGCCTATTTTGTGTGGTCTTAACTCTGCATTTTATCTATCCATTCAGCTGCCATATGTTCTTGTTGTTCTCTACACATAATATTTGTATGTTACTACTGCATTGAACATCTAATCTCTTGTGAGTATGCTTTCGAAAATGGGATCCTGGTGCTTTCAACTAATGCGGAACCTCTAGGAAATTGATATGGACATAACCGTGATGTATTGTGTTTCGGTATGAGCAGCTAATATAGCTGCTAAAACTAGCTGTCTAAAAAGTTTTGAGTTTCATAGTGCACAAATCAATGTTATGCTTGCATTGAAGTCCTCATATATTCATCTCACATCAACTTGGTTTTTAACAAACAGTATCGGCAAATGAGGCGGAAAGAGCAAGATCGGGTTGCTAGGATGGAGGTCGACTACGCGAGAAGGAAAGAAGAAGCAGAATTCAGAATGAGAAGGGAGGAAAGGTTGAAAGCCGAAGAGGAGACGAGAGCCAAAAAACGTGCCAAACGTCAAAAGAAGAAGCAGAAGAAGAAAGAGAGGAGGAAGACGCCACAAGGTCCTGCCGAAGGAGGAGCAGAGCGACAGAAACAAGAATCCTCAGATGATGGATCCGAGAGCGAGGATGAAGCAACAAAGTGAAGTTCCGCTGAATGCTTCAAGTTTCAGACTTTCTTCAATTTCGAGCTTTTTCTTCTCCGCCATACTATCAATTCTGCATTCTGCAATGTATCTAAACCAACTGTAGTTGTGTTAGATCCAAATAGGCATGTTGTCAAGCATTTCTGAGAGTACATGCCCATGTAGCTTCTATCTATTGTGGTTTCGAGTTTATAGTCAACCGTTGACTTCCACAACGTGAACTGATTCCCTGAAATGGGCCAGCTGTGAAATTTTCAGACTGATCTTTGGGCTATTAATCCATCAATGAAGGTCCCCGGCCCGGCCCTGAATAAATTGCCAAATTATCCACTTCCTGGGAAAAAAATATATAACTAGAGAAAACCAAAGAGCACGAAGGTTGGCGTCGTCGGCACCTTTGACAGTGCAAAAGATCCTTCTCCTTCCTCATCGCACTCCGCGGACTTCTTTTTTAATTGCCATATCTCTCTCGCGCGCGATCTCTGGTGAACTTTCCAAAGTTCTCGATCGCCATGGGAGAAACCGCCGCTCCTCCTCCTTCTGGCCGCATTTCCGTCCACCAGCTCCTCGGCGGCGGTTCAGGTCTCTTCTCTTTTCCGCGCTCTCCAGAATGCTCAATTTTTTTACGGTCCATGCATGTTTCAATCGGAGAGTGTAATCGATTGCCGATCGCTCCTATTTCACTTTTCATTTGGATTGTAATTCATCGCTTTCTCTGTTTTTTCTCAGTGGCCGATGTTCTGTTATGGCGGAGATGGGGCGTGAGCTTGACGTTGTTAGTCGTTTCGTCGACCTCGTGGTATCTATTCGAGCGAGCGGGATACAATTTGCTGACATTCGTGGCCAATGTGCTGTTCCTCCTCGTTCTGATACTCTTCCTGTGGGCGAAATCTGCTTCTCTTCTCAACCGGTAACTTTACTAATTGCTATTTTCCCTGCTTTTCTGCGTATGCCTTTACCTTTTCGTTCCCGAGAACTGTGATCAGCAGCGAAAGATGCTAGGAGGGAACTTTTAATTGTTTGATCACTGGCAGTGGAATAGATTGCTGGAAATGTGAATTTCTGAATCCTGAGTAAATTTTGTGTGATTCGTTTTAGGCCACTGCCGCCAATTCCTGATCTAGAAATAACTGAGGAGACTGTTGACAGAGTTTCTCAAGTTGTTCAAGTTTATGTGAACCATGTACTGGCAGTTGGATGTGACATTGCAATTGGTAGGAATTTGAAAGTCTTCTTACAGGTATTCTTGATTTCACCTGATGTAATTTCGTTTCCTAGAAGAATCGTAATCCTTTTCGCCATCTCTGTGGCTAAGGTGAAAACTGTTTCCTGCTCTTCATGATGTATCTCCAGATCTCTTTTGTCTCGTGGATCGTGTCTTACGTTGGTAGCCTCTGCAGTTTCCTTACTTTTGCGTATGCTGGTGAGTTGCTTAGTGTCATACTTCCATTTTTTTTGTAAGAGTTTTTATTGCTGCAGTCTAGCAACTTTCTAAGTGGTGTTTGGGTCCCTTTTTCTGCAGGGATTCTTCTCAGTCTTTCGATCCCAGTGGTGTATGACAAATTCCAGCACCAGATTGATGAAAAGTTGGTTGTAGCACAGAGAATACTTGAAGCTCAGCAAAGGAAAATTGATGAGACCCTTCTGAAGAAGCTTCCGCGGCCATCACAGAAAGAAAAGAAGGTTCAATAGGTAAATGCTTTCTATGCATCACTCTTTCCCCCTCTCCTACGCTTTCAAGTTACCATGTCTAGCTTATTGACATGTGAACTCGCCCTATAACATTTTCTTGGTAGTCCCAGTATTGACCGTGGCCTCATTAATCTTTCAGAAACCATGATCACGCTTTATTTGTCCGCTTTCTTTTGATCCCCCCCCCCCCCCCCCCCCTCCCAATTTTTTTTTTATCTACATTAGTGTCTGTCTCCTGTGAATCAAATTGCATTTGTTATAAGCTGTGTTGGTGAATTTCAGTGATGAACTAGGCTGGATTCTACTCCGCAAAGTTTTTATTTGGTTAATTTTGCTTTGGTCTTGGTTTGATGTTTGAAGCTTTCAGCCCATAGTCGATATCTAGGTGTGAGCTTTACCTCCTACCTGTATGCCCATGTTCTGTACTGTCGGTGCTTAGGGATCATTGTGATCTGTTTCTATCGATCTCTTTGCATAGAAAAGATCATAGTCCATTTCTGCAACTTGTTCTGTCCATGCTGACCATATCTTATCTGCTCTGGAAGGGGACCTTTTTGGGGCCTCCAGGGGAAGAAGAAGAGTCTGTGTTGGGGGTGTGGCAATGAATTTTAATCACATTGGTTTTCTATGAAAATTAATTATGAGCACCAGGATTTAATTATGTCTACTGTCCCATTCAATGACCCTTGCAGTGGAGGTTGTCTGATAGCTAAAATCCTTAGAATTATCAAGTGTGGCTGAGGATTCTCAGCATGTACTTACAGGCTCTCTTACTCATAGTTGTCTCCCTCCACTTTTAATGATGTAGCCATTCATTGAACTAGTTGATAGAGTCAACATAAGCACAGAGGCAATGATATGCTATGCGTTATGCTTAATTTCCAAACATTAGTTCACTTTGATACATTAATCCAAGCCTCTCTCACTAAACATAGGCTTCATCATCATCATCTTGGGCATTTTCAGGTGCTAGAGGTTGTGAACGCGGTTGCAGGCTCTTATGTGCTTGGGAACGTCTTCGTGCTAGCTTCTGCAAAAGGTCAAATAGCTATAGGGAATGCATAGTTTCAATGTTGCCTCTTCTCTTTCTCCTTTTGTCCCTCCATCTTCCACAAAATCTAACTGCTAGATCTCGGATTCTTGTTCGTTCGTGTAGTTCAAATGGCACGGGTGTCTTTTCCGGCAGATTGCATTGATGGCTTTGAGAGGGAAGATGAGAAACAGTTGCTTTGTTTTGTTAGCTGTGTCGCGTTAGGCAGTGAGGTCCCAGTTTGTAAATGATCCATTTTCTTTGGCTGAACGAGTTTGCTACTTTGCTTATAGTACTCAAGAGTTTGTAACGTCGAGATCTCGGTATTCCTTTCATAGTTGATCTGCTAAGGATAGCATCTGTTTGTTGTTACGCGAATCTCCATCATTTGCTTGAAACAGTTATAGAATCTACAATATCATGGCATCAACTTCGACCAACACTCCAAGAATGCTTGTTGAAATCGGCTTCGAAAATCTTGAAAAATTATGCAAGAGTCAAAAAATGTTGTGCGGCGATCGGATAGTTGAGTCAGTTTCGAAATCGCTTAACATTGCAGCTAACCACACCACACTAGTGTATTTTGTGAAATTTTAGTCTAAGTGTAGAATGCTGAACATTTTTTTATTAATTCCTGTATTTTGGGGAAAAATCCGCAGACAAGGCCATCCGAAACCCGGTGGAAGAAGATTTGGACAAACGCCAATCCATTCAGCAGCAGGAGAAAAGCTTTCAACTTCAGGAGGGTTCAGAAGCTGATAGATTAGTAATCTTTTTATTCTCTCTTCAGTTACCTCGTGCACTTCACGCTGCTTCAGTTGCTTTCACTCTTTACCACCACAATGGCCGCAATCTTGTCCTGCCTCCAACACAAAACATTCCTTGTGCAGCAGCTTAAGCCTATATAAATGTCCCTGAACCGAATCCACCTTCCTCACATCCAAAACACAATCACATCTCAACTACTTACAGACTCCAAAACACACAACCACAATGATGAACATCACCAGCCAAACCTCTTCCCCAATTCTTCTCCTCGCCGCCATTCTCGTCCTCGCTGCGACCTACGTGGACGGCCAGACCTGCAAGCCGAGTGGCCACATCACAGGGATCACTCCGCCACCGGGGCAATGCAACCAAGGCGAGGAATCCGACTGCTGCAAAACCGGCAAGCAGTACACCACCTACAAATGCTCCCCTCCGGTCACCGCCAGCACCAAGGCGACCCTGACGTGGAACAGCTTCGAGGCAGGGGGCAGCGGGGGAGCACCATCCGAGTGCGACAACCAGTTCCACTCCGACGACAAGCCTATCGTTGCTCTGTCGACGGGGTGGTTCAACAAGAAAAGCAGGTGTCTCAACTTCATCAACATTCATGGGAATGGGAAGACAGCTAGGGCCATGGTGGTGGACGAGTGTGACTCCACCATGGGGTGTGATTCTGATCATGATTACCAGCCTCCTTGTCCTAACAACATTGTTGATGCGTCGAAGGCGGTGTGGAAGGCGTTGGGTGTGGAGGAGAGTGACTGGGGTGATCTGGATATCACCTGGTCTGATGCTAATTGATTCGCAACTGATTGTTTCTGTATATGGTATCAAAGTTTCTGGTTTTGTATATATAGACATTGTTAATGTCTTTTGTGAGTTTATGAATCATGTATATTCTATCATCTGTAACATATTAAAAGCTTTGATTGATTGTAAAATGTTGGAACTTGGATATCTTACTTGAGTTTGTCAAAAATTATAGCTTTGTTCGATTGTGTTATCTGTACCTTCATATTGCAAAGTTTCCACTCCAGGAGAAAGAAGAATAGTTTTTGTTCTCATTTCGGTCCTCTGTTTTCACATTTTGGACAATTTTTTTAGGTCCAAATCCGTGGATCTCACATATTTATAAATACTATATTTCATTTGGTATTTGCAAATACCACATTATGGAATGCAAATTTTTGAGACCCAAATATCAAAAAATTTAACTAAACAAACAATGTTGTCTTTCAAATACAAAATGCAACAAATCCATCATAAATCCAAATGTTATCAAAACTCAAAACCTTCATTTTCAAATCCAACAAGCAGATGAGTCGGACAATTTATGCACACGGGCTGAAGCTTTGGAAAATTGGAGTCTAAATCTCTAAACTATAAACAATTCAAAAATTCTAATTTTTTGGATTGTTGATCTTTTCAAAATTTTCATTTTATGGTAACTATGATTGTGAACATTCAATAAATATGATATTCTTTTTATAAAAATGAAGAGATAAGATAGGGGAAAAAAGTTAGAAATCAAGATATAAAATCTCTCCGATTATGAGAGATTTGTTAAGCAAATGCTGTAATTTAATTATCTCCGATAAGATAGGCATAGCTATCTGCTTCTCTGTTCGTATTTAAACCAACGAAAGTTCAACTAGAGTGAAAATGGAAAGGAAGTTAAAACGGTAATTTAAAAGGAATTACTGTGCCTAACACGTGGCACTAGACAGAAGACTATTGACTAACGGCTAGCTAGTAACCGTATCATTGAAATGGCGTCGGGTCATCTATTCTGCAATCTTCATTTTCCCTTTGCCTTCATTCTTCAGCTCTGCCCTCTTCTCCATGGTGTTCTTCTGTCTGCTCTATTACTCCCCCACAAGTTGACGAGTGCATGTCCAAAACTCCCAACTTGTCAAGCAAATACTTCAATCTGTATCTTGTCATTCCTTTGGTGAAAAGATTAGCTAATTGATCATCTGTTCTAACGTGTTCCAGCTTGATCAACCCAGATTTCAGCCTCTCTCTAGTAATGTGGCAATCGATTTCAATGAGTTTCGTTCTCTCATGAAACACAGGATTTTCAGCTATATGAATAGCTGATTTGTTATCACAATAAACCTGTATATATAGGTAAGGGAATCTTTACACCCATATATTCAAGCAAACCTCTAAGCTACTGCAACTCACAAACCAAATGTGTCAAAGCCCTATATTCAGCTTCAGAGGATGATCTAGAAACATTAGTTTGTTTCTTAGATTTCTAGGTTATAAGACTATCACCAAACAGTGTACAATAACCTGTAATTAACCTTCTTATATCAGGGCAACTTTCCAAATCAGAATATGAGAAACCAGATTGGCCATTCAAACTCATGGAGTCAACTGTCTCAACCGATGCCCTGTCTGCTGGAGACATCGAGAAAACATTGAACATTTATTCTTCAGATGCCCCCTAGCCACCAGATTGTGGACTTTAGTGGGATTGAACAACTTTATTGAGACCGCCCAGACTGTTAACTTTAGTCTATGGTGGCGACATGTCATGGTCTCCGAGACCTCCCCATTCCACATTCTCCAATGCGTCTATTTACTTTGGAGAATCTGAAAGTCTAGAAATAAAGTGATCTTCGAATTTATCCAACCTCATGTTCGTTCCCTAGCCAGACAGTTCTACAACCAGGTCCTCGAATTTTCCAATCTTCTCTTTCCTCCTCCGCCCCGCAGCTCTCTTATCCCAAATCATCCTGCCACCACTTGGGTCCCTCCACCAGAATACTTTTTGAATATCAACGTCGACGCAGCTGTTTGTGCCACTGGTTGTTCGTCTGGGCTTGTTATTCGTGGGTCAAACGGGCATGTGGTGCTGGCGCTCGGACTGCAGCATCAAGGAATAGTCAATCCTTGGCAGAGCTTCTAGCTTTTAGAGACGCTATCTCCAACGTAGCCTTAGGATCCCTGACCCACGTGATAGTCGAAGGTGATTCCAAAGTGGTGGTCAACCAAATCCGTCAAGGCGTCATTGAAGACTCGATTGGAGGTCCGGTGCTACGAGAGTGTCTTCAGATCCTTAGCTCTTTGTCTATTTGTATAGAGTTTAGGGTGGTACCTAGATCCGCCAACAGCGCTGCCCATAGAGTGGCGCGTAAAGCACAGCTTTTGTCTCGTGTAGAGCTAGAATCTTTTGATTTTTTGGGGTGGCTTCTTTAGATTCTGTTAGGGGTCCTGGGTAGAATTGTAAGTTTAACTATTTTCTTCCATTGATATCACTCAGAAATAAAAAAAAAACCATTCAAATTCAGTTCTGAATCAGCTTTGAAAATTAAACCTTATCCTGGAGCATGTTTCAAATACCTTAAGATCCTATAGGCAGCCTGCAAATGCTCACTATATGGATCTTTCTGAAACTGACATAACTGTTGTATAGCAAAGGTTAAATCTTGTCCGGTAACACTGAGGTAATGCAGTCTACCTACTAACCTTTTGTAGACTTTTGGATTAGGGAGAGGTTCACACTGCTTAGCAACCAACTTCAGCTTGTAATCAATTAGTGCTAGGCAATCTTTTGCCTCTACATATCCAGTGTCTTCCAGCAGTTCCATGCAGTATTTTCTATGATTCACATGAATCCCTTTATTATCTCTATACACTTCCAGTTCAAGGAAAAACTTCAGATCACCAAGATACTTCACTTTGAATTCTCTTTCCAAGAACAGTTTAAGTTGTTCTATATCTTCCAAAGAGCTTCCTGTAATCAATATATCATCAACATACACCAGCACAACAAGAATCCTTTCCTGAACCCTTTTAACAAACATTGAATAGTCTGAGGCTGCTTGAGCAAAACCATTTTCAATAATGAACTAGCTAGCTTGGCAAACCATTTGCCTGCTAGCCCACTTTAAGCCATAAAGGGACTTCTGCAGTTTTAAAACCATCTTCTTGTCAGCTAGTTCCATGCCTGGTGGTGGTTTCATGTAAACCTCTTCATTCAGCTCTCCATGAAGGAAAGCATTTGATACATCCATCTGATGTATAAGCTAGTCATTAGCAGCAACAAATGGCAGCAACACTTTAACAGAGTTAATTTTAGCAACTTGTGAAAAAGTGTCCAGGAAATCTATTCCATAGATTTGAATAAATCCCTTAGCAACTAATCTGGCCTTAAATATCTATATGATGCCATCAGCTCTAAGTTTAACCTTGTACACCCATTTACACTCAATAGCCTTTTTCCCTAGTGGTAAGTAAGCTGGTTCCCAAATCTGATTTGCTTCAAGAGCATCAGATTCTTCCTTCATAGCCTCTGTGCAACACAGCTCCTTACAAGCTTCTCCATGAGATATTGGTTCAATCACAGACATGGCATTCATCACATAAGCCTTATGTGCAGGAGGTAACTTGTCAAAAGTTACATATTTGTCCATAGAGTACTTATGAACTGCTCCAACTTTGTAATCCTTATGCGAAATTGGAACTGGCCTGAGTTTGTCAGACATTCTTACCTCTGGACCAGGACCTTCTCCATCTTCAAAATCAAGTTGTGCAACTAACTCATCATCCACCCCTTCAGAATTCACTCCTGAAAACTCTACTGCTTCACCAACAGAGGATGTAGGCAAGGGAGATGTGTTTGGTGAAGGAGTAGTAGAGGTAGAAGGAGAGGAAGTCTGAGAAGGTAGGAAAGAAGATGGATCTGGAGGAAGAGAATTATTTGGGAAAAGGGGTGCAGTGGTAGTGATAGTAGAATGTGATTGTGGTGGTGAAGAGGAAGGAACATGTGCAGAAGAAGGTTGCAGAAAGGGAATAATGGTCTCATAGAAGACCACATGTCTAGAAACAAAGGTTTGATGAGTGTTGAGATCAAATAATTTGTAACCTTTGATCCCAGAAGGAAAGCCAAGAAAGACACATTGCCTAGCTCTAGGACTGAACTTGGTTCTGTCTCTTAGTAAAGTGGATTCATAGCAAAAGCAACCAAAAACTTTGAGAAAATCTAAGGCTGGTGGTTTATGATACAACAACTCAAAGGGTGAAACACCATCAGTAACTGGTGAAGGTAGTCTATTAATCAGAAAACATCATGGAGGATGCAATCCCTCCAGAAATGTGAAGGCAATCCTAATTGGAAACGAAGTGACCTTGCAACATTGAAGATATGTTGATGCTTCCTCTCAACACGAGCGTTTTGTTCAGGTGTTTCCACACATGAAAGCTGGTGTGCAATTCCATGTGTGTTGTAGAAGTCAGACATGTGAAATTCATTCCCCTTATCACTTCTATAGCCTGTTTGGATACAATTCAAGAAGAAATGGAAATGAAATTCTATTTCCAATTCCTATTTTTATAGAATTCCATTTCCAATTTTAGTGTTTGGTATAATTCCTTCAACTAAAGAAATGAATTGCACTTTTAACAATAATTAATAATGTAATATATTTATTTTATCTTGGAAAGTGAAATATGAATGATAGAGAAAGAGAGTAGGGTGATAGTTGGTTAATAAAATAATAATAAATAGTGATGGGACCCACTAATTCCATCTTCATAAACACAATTCCTATCACTTTTGATAGGAATTGTAATTCCCAAAACTTAGCCCAAATGGAATTCATTTCTCAACCTTCATATCCTTCCAAACATAAAATATGGAACTGGAATTGAAAATGGAATTCCAATTCCTGAGTTTTTTGTCTATCCAAACAGGCTGCTAATAACCTTAACAGTTCTATTGAACTGAGTTTGAATCATAACACAAAAGGATTCCAGAAAAGGTGAAGCTTCTGACTTATGCCTCATTAATCCATGTTGGACATAGGAAGAAAGAACATATTTACCAACATAGGTAGGATGAGATGGTAGTTGCTGTGAGACTGAGTATGAGGCATGCTAATGGAAGGTGAAAGTGGTGGTGATGGACTCATGCTATCAGGCTTATGCAAGAGAAGCCTCAGCTTGTTCATCTCATCAGTGGCGAAGCTGAGTGAACCAGTTGGGGAAGATTTGTTGTCATAACCAATACTTTGTCCTGAAGAAGTAGAGTCACCACTCTGTGAGTTTGATTGAGATACTGAGCCAGCAAAAGTCCCTCCTTCATCCATACAAGCTTTCTTATTCTTCAATCGATAGCATTCTTCTTTCAAATGACCACCCATCTTACAATATCGACAAAACTTTCCTTTTCTAGCAGACTCAGACCTGTTCTCTTTGTTAGAGTTGAAAGACTTGTTCTGTTCACCTTGTCCTTGTGCAACCAATGCAACAGATTGAATACCCCTGGTACTTTTACCTTTGTCACCCTGCAGTTTCTGTTCATGCTGCAAAATATCATCCAATGCAACCTCTACAACAGGTAAGGGTTTCAACATGAGCAGTTGTGTTTGAACAACATCAAACTCAGGTTTCAAACCCTTCAAGAACTTGATAAGGTAATCTGTTTCTAGGTTCTGCCGATAGGCAACCACTGCTGCACATGGCCTAACTCTCACAGCAAGACAATCACATTTAACTACAGGACTATACTGCTGAATTTCTTGCCATAATCCCTCAAGTATGATGTAATATTGGGTCACACTCATAGTACCTTGTTTACAACCAGCCATTTCGTTTTGTAAATTAGCTAGTTTAATGGCATTAGATATACCAAAACGTACTTTCAGTTCATCCAGACAACCATGGCATTCTCATGCTGTAAAACACTCCTACTAATATCCTTATGCACAGAGTTCAAAATCCAACAGAGAATCATGGTGTTAGAAGCATCCCATAACACAAAATCAGGATGAGTACAATCAGGCATCGAAATCGAGCCATCAGTGAAACCCAGCTTGTGCTTGGTCTTAATAGCCATTCGCAAAGCTCGCTGCCAGGTTTGGTAGTTAGATCCATCCAAGATCTCAGCAACTATGGATTGGCCTAGATTCTCACTAGGATTAATGTAATATGGACTTCCAAACATTAAACCCAGATGATTAGTGTTACCATTCTGCTGTTGACGATCATCGCCGGCGGTGTTGTTGTGAACTTGTCCACCACTGCCATTGGATGAAGAATTGTAGGTTCCAAATGGAATGGGGCCTGTGCCTCAAGATCCCGGTGGCGTCTATGGATTGCTCTCCATAGTAGACTTGAAAGCGGAGAAGCGGATCAATACCGCTCTGATACCATAAGAAGAAGAAAGGAAGAGAAGGAGAACGAGCTGTTAGGTTAAGTAGCTGAATGATTGGAGGGAAAAACTCAGAGAGAGCTATCTGCTTCTCTGTTTGTATTTAAACCAACGAAAGTTCAACTACAGTGAAAATGGAAAGGAAGTTAAAACTGTAATTTAAAAGGAATTATTGTGCCTAACACGTGGCACTAGACAGAAGACTATTGACTAATGGCTAGCTGGTAACGATAGCATTGAAACGGCGTCGGGTCATCTATTATGCAATCTTCGTTTTTCCTTTGCCTTCATTCTTCAGCTCTACCTCTTCTCCATGGTGTTCTTCTGTATGCTCTATTAAAACACACAAGCACGATGATAAAGATCACCAACCAAACCTCTTCCCCCATCCTTCTCCTCGCCGCCATTCTACTTCTCGCCGCGGCAGCCCACGTGGACTGCCAGACATGCAAACCGAGCGGGCACATCACAGGGATAACTCCACCACCGGGGCCCGGGGCAATGCAACCAAGGCGAGGAATCCGACTGCAGCAAAACCGGCAAGCAGTACACCACTTACAAATGCTCTCCTCCAGCTTTGAGGCAGGGGGCAGCGGCGGAGCCCCGTCGGAGTGCGACAACTAGTTCCACTCCGATGACAAGCCCATCGTTTCTCTGTCGACGGGGTGGTTCAACAAGAAATCTAGGTGTCTCAACTTCATCAACATTCATGGTAATGGAAGGATCGTTGGGGCCATGGTGGTTGACGAATGTGACTCCACCATGGGGTGTGATTCTGATCATGATTACCAGCCGCCTTGTCCGAATAACATCGTCGACGCGTCGAAGGCGGTGTGGAAGGCATTGGGTGTGGCTGAGAGTGACTGGGGAAATCTGGATATATTCTGGTCTGATGCTAATTGAATTCGCAATTGATTGTTTCTGTGATATGGTTATTCATCAAAGTTTATGGTTTTGTGCATAGACATTGATCATGTATGTGTGTGTATGTTCTATCATCGGTAACATATTACAAGCCTTGATTGATTGTAAAATGTTGGATGTCTGAATTTGAGTTTGTCAAAACTATAGCTTTGTTGGATTGTGTTATCTACACCTTCATATTGCAAAGTTTCAACTCCTGAAGAAGTATATAGTCAAAACTATAGCTTTATTGGATTTTGTTAATGTAGTCGTAAGTATATGAATATTGTATGTATGGATATTCTATCATCTGTAACATATTAAGAGCTTTGATTGATTGTAAAATGGACTTCTGAATTGAGTTTTTGTCAAATCTCTTAACTATAAACAATCCAAAGATTCTAATTCTCCTAAAAAAGAAAAATTCTAATTCTTCGATTATGAACATGCAATAAAAGTATAAATTCTAATTCTTTATCAAATGACATGTTTATTCTTAACCAAAAGAATCAGAGTCACTTTGAAAAATATTGAGAATTTATTAGCAAGGATAGTTAGTGGGATAAAAAAGGTGAAGAGATCAAGTAGAAGAAAAAAATACTTAGAAATCAAGATACATAATCTTTCCAATTACGAGAGACTTGATAAGTCGATATTTTAGTAATTTGAAATCTATGAAACTAAAATCCACTATACAAATAACAGAAAAAATACTTTATGCTAAATCTATGGTTAAAATCCATTTATGCAACCGATCCTTAAGTATGTTTGTGAGAGCCCTGGCCAGCATTCACGTTGGGATACCTGATCCAAAATAGTGCGAGGCGGGTATGGAAATCACATTTCGCCCTGTTCCTTCCCGTTTTAATATTTATTTCTATTTCTTCAAATTTGAATTTACATAATTATATTTTCCCTCAATAAACTTTAAATAAGTGCAAGACTTTATATTTCAACTAATTGAACTTAATTAATTACTCATTATGTTATCTCCATTTTCACTTATAAAGTGTTTTTCCTTTGTTTTATCATAAAAAATTAAATTTATGTGTTTATTTTAATTCCAATAAGATGTGAGAATGAATCAATCTGTTCCCGTCCGTACTCCGTACCACATGCACAATTGCACATGATGCGAAATGGATATTAGTATTAAGGTACCTGCCACACTTAAATTTGGGATGGGCTATAAAGAATGAAGATTTGGGCCGTAGTTAGATAAAAGATTATAATATCAATGCATCACCTTCGACCAACGCTCAAGGAATGCTTCTTGAAATCAGTTTCGAAGATCTCGAAAATTTGTGCAGAATCAAAAAATGCTTTGTGTCGATCAGATAATTGAGCACAAAATTAGGATAGTTTGAAATTTCCATATTTGTTAGGTGAAGATTACTGCAGTTTGCCATGATTTTGAAAGGTGATCGTATCTCTAGATAGCCATTTGTGTAGATCGCATATGTTAGACATTGCAGCCAACCATGCCACAGTTGCGAAATTTTAGTCCAAGTGTAGTATTCTGAACATGTTTTTTATTAATTCCTGTATTTTGGGGAAAAATCCGCAGACAAGGCCATCCGAAACCCGGTGGAAGAAGATTTGGACAAACGCCAATCCATTCAGCAGCAGGAGAAAAGCTTTCAACTTCAGGAGGGTTCAGAAGCTGATAGATTAGTAATCTTTTTATTCTCTCTTCAGTTACCTCGTGCACTTCACGCTGCTTCAGTTGCTTTCACTCTTTACCACCACAATGGCCGCAATCTTGTCCTGCCTCCAACACAAAACATTCCTTGTGCAGCAGCTTAAGCCTATATAAATGTCCCTGAACCGAATCCACCTTCCTCACATCCAAAACACAATCACATCTCAACTACTTACAGACTCCAAAACACACAACCACAATGATGAACATCACCAGCCAAACCTCTTCCCCAATTCTTCTCCTCGCCGCCATTCTCGTCCTCGCTGCGACCTACGTGGACGGCCAGACCTGCAAGCCGAGTGGCCACATCACAGGGATCACTCCGCCACCGGGGCAATGCAACCAAGGCGAGGAATCCGACTGCTGCAAAACCGGCAAGCAGTACACCACCTACAAATGCTCCCCTCCGGTCACCGCCAGCACCAAGGCGACCCTGACGTGGAACAGCTTCGAGGCAGGGGGCAGCGGGGGAGCACCATCCGAGTGCGACAACCAGTTCCACTCCGACGACAAGCCTATCGTTGCTCTGTCGACGGGGTGGTTCAACAAGAAAAGCAGGTGTCTCAACTTCATCAACATTCATGGGAATGGGAAGACAGCTAGGGCCATGGTGGTGGACGAGTGTGACTCCACCATGGGGTGTGATTCTGATCATGATTACCAGCCTCCTTGTCCTAACAACATTGTTGATGCGTCGAAGGCGGTGTGGAAGGCGTTGGGTGTGGAGGAAAGTGACTGGGGTGATCTGGATATCACCTGGTCTGATGCTAATTGATTCGCAACTGATTGTTTCTGTATATGGTATCAAAGTTTCTGGTTTTGTATATATAGACATTGTTAATGTCTTTTGTGAGTTTATGAATCATGTATATTCTATCATCTGTAACATATTAAAAGCTTTGATTGATTGTAAAATGGACGTCTGAAATCTGAATTAAGTTTGTCAAAACTATAGCTTTGTTGGATTGTGTTATCTTTACTGTACCTTCATATTGCAAAGTTTCCACTCCGGAAGAAGCAGAATGATTTTTCGGGGCCGGAGGGGTTGTCACATTGACAACCAAGGGTATTTTGGGTATAAAAAAAAATATTTATTAATTAATTACACATTGAGAATTAAAAACTCATATTAAATATGTCTTTAAAAAAAAAAATTTAAACCCTACAAGTAATACACTTGTATCTTTCTCTATCTCTCTTTTTTTTTCAGCAGCCTCTCCGCTCTGACCGTCAAACTTTCTCCGACCGGCAGACATTTTTACGGTGAAATCCTTCGATCAGACTCACTCCGACCACCTGCAACAATGTATCACTTCGTCAGTGCGCTAGTGGTAGTGATTTTCGACTAGTGGTACTATACCATTGGTATTGGTACGATACCACTACTCACTGGTAGCGCTATCAGCAGTAATGGTACGCTACCAGTACTAGTGGTATGCTACCATTACCACTTGTAGCGGTACCATTAGCGGTACCAATACCATTGGTAGCAGTACCAGTGCCACTGGTAGCGTACCACTAGAGACTAGCGCACAAAAATTAGATTTGAAATATGAAAAATCATAGATTTGAAAAAAAAATCGGGGATGAGGAAAGGGGGAGGCAGGGGAGAGGCGGTGACCTCGTGGCGACGGTGGTGGTGGGAGACAGAGGGTTGTGGGAGGGTTGCGACAGGGAGAGGGTGATGGCGCGACGGTGGTGGGAGGAGGAGGCCGCGATGGCTGCGGTGGGAGGGACGTGGCGTGCTGGGAGGTAGAGGACGCGACGACGGGAGGGCTACGACGGACGGTGATGAGAGGCGGAGAGCGCGGCGAGTCTGCGGGAGGGCTGCGGCGGCGGTGGTGGCAGCCACAGAGCGAGAAGGAAGAGATGGGAGGAAGAAGAAGAATATGAAGAAGAAAGTGTGATGGAGAGAGAGAGAGAGAGAGAGAGAGAGAGAGAGAGAGAGAGAGAATGTAGGATTTTGGGTATGAATAGGGGTAATAATCTAGTGTGGTCAATTTTATTCGTCCAAAAATACCCTTAATTCAATATGTACCGTTGATTTGAAAAAAAGAAGAAAGAGACAAGAGAGAGAATGGATCCTATGGTTATAAAATGAGTTGTCAATCTCACAACCCCTTAATGGGTTGTCACAGTATCTCATTACTGATTTTTCTTCTCATTTTCAATAGAGATTCTCTTTTTTCACATCTTGTAGCATAATGGAGAGCTGCAATTTATGCATACTGCTGAAGGTATGGGAAATTGGAGTCTAAATCTCTAAACTATATATAGAAAGATTCTAATTCTTTGCATTGTTGATTTTTTTAATTTTCATTATTTGGTAATTATGATTTTGAACATTCAATTAAAATATAAATTCTAATTTTTTTGTTAAATGATATGTTTATCCCTAATCAAAAGAATGAGAGTGACTCGAAAAATATTAAGAATCTATTAGTAAAGATATAGAAATCAAGATATAGAATCTTTCTGATTATGAAAGATTTGAAATCTCGATATTTTAGAGATCCGAAATCTCTGAAACTAAATCCATGATAAAAAACAGCAAAAATACATTATTCTAAATGTATGGCTCAAGTCCTTTTCAGCAAACGAGACCTAAGTATGTTTGTGAGAGCCCTACCCCGCGTTCACGCCGGGATGTGTATTAAGTGATCTATAATAGTGTGAGGTGGGTATGGATATTATATTTCATTGTGTTCTGTCCTGTTTAATATTTATTACTATTTCTTCAAATTTGACTTTTCTTAAATATATTTTCACTCAATTAAACTTTGAGTAAGTGCAAGTTTTCATCTTTTAACTAATTGGATTTAATCACTCATTATGTTATTACTATTTTTCATTTATGAAGTGTTTTTCCTTTGTTTTATCATAAAAAATGAATTTATGTGTTTATTTTTTCCCAATAACATGTGAGAATAAATCAAGACACGCACTTGATGTGAAACGTATAATAATATTAAGGTACCCGCCGCACTAAATTTTGGGGGTGGGCCATAAAGAGTGAAGATTTGGGCTAGATCTATAGACTGGATAAAGAAATATCATGGCATTCAGCTTCGGCCAACGCTCAAGGAATACTCATTGAACGGGCCTCGAAGATCTCCAAAAGTTATGTAAAATAAAAAAGGAATTAAGTTGATCGGATAACCAAATGAAAATATGTATTTGTTTGAAATTTTCGTGTATGGTAGGTAACGATCGAGGGAGTCGAGCACAATTTTGAAGAGTAGATCGCATCTCTAGCCAACTATGTTTGTAAATCGCATATGTTACTTAGAAGCAGAGA